CAGTATTCCTGGGTTGCCAATATCAATCGAACAACCACACACCTGTCTATGTGTTGTAATACCAGGCTTCCAATGTCTTTTTGAGAACCATCCATCTGTGTATGTGCTGTATTGCAAGGCGTCCAATGCAATTCTGGCGACCACCCACGTGTGTATGAGCTGTATTGCTAGGCTTCCTCTGTTATTTGGACAACCACCCATTTGTGTATGAGCTGCATTACAAGGCGAGCAATGTAATTCAGGCGTCCATCCACCTGTATGTATGAAGTATTTCTGGGCTTCCAATGTCATTTAGAAAACCGACCACCTGTATAGGCGTCAAATGTTATTCAGGCGACTACCCATTTGTGTATCAGCTGATTTGTTAGACGTCCAGTGCAATTCAGGCGACCACCCACCTGTGTATTTGCTGTATTGTCAGGCTTCCAATGTCATTTAGGAAGCACTCGTATGCTTTTTTTTCTAATTATTTTGAAAAAATTGTGTATATCTCATTTTTAAATGTAACTTTTATTGTTATAAACGTTATTTCAGTTTTCAATAATACTTATATATTACCAATATTACCAATCTTATTATTCAGTGACATTCGTTGGAATCAATTAATTGATATCACCTATGATGTGTTCATCGAACTACCAGTATTACAAATATTGTAAGTACATGAGGATGTATTCACGACTAAAATAGTGCACAGTCACAACTTTATCTTGTCTCCTGTATAATACAAATAAGATTCCATAAAAATTTACACACACAGACATACACTTCATGTGGTGTCCTCATTATGTAATGTTACGTATCTATTGTATTATGTGAGACCTCCATATTATATAATATGCATTATATTGTATATTGCAACATCCACATTATATGACGTGATGTATACATTATATGAAGTGGGCACTGCATTATATGAGGCGATTAAATATAATATTAATATATGAGCATGGGTTTGTATTATCCACAATGCAACGCTACCCACGCGCTGTACTCAGTGCGCCTGAATACTTGATCGGGCTATTTTTAGTTGTGGATACCATATTATTTACATTCGAAAGAGGACGTACAAGTACGGATTTACAGACTCTCTTTCTGACAGAGACGATGTCGTCAATGTTCGGCGCCTAAGATATTGGGAAACAAGTACTGCAAATCATTCAAAAACTTCTGCACTGAATTGGTTTCGAAAGAAAATCAAAAGAAACATTTACCTATAAAATAATAGAGCTGAAAATGCAACGCTGCTTGGACACATTCAGTATACAGATTTGGCTCTGAAAAATATGCGTAAAATATATTTACATTTCAACTACATCTTCAGAATGCCCCAAAAATGGACAGACTGTAATAAATGATCATTGATGATCACTTACATTGGCTTTTCTTATTGATTACATATGCGCTTGGCATATCGGATTATAGAATTTTCGGAGTAATCAACGTAAAACACTATTGGACGAAGTTGTCTACGTAGACATTGATCTTGATGCTAATGACGTTGAAACCCCAAATGTTTGCTCAAGTTGATTACATCGTTGAATTCAATAATGAAACTACCGTTCTGTACTGTGATAATAAAAAACAGGACGTGGGAACACTTGTTTTCAGTCGTTATCATCAACTATGAGATATCATTATTTTCATGCAGAGATTGTGAAATAACGACACCATGATATCTACGTTTAAAAGAGAAATGCAAATGGGATGGGAATAGGTTGCGGTCGTGTAGTTTGACAAATCACTTAACAAAAATGTTGAGTAACTAGGGGAAACGATTGTAACGATGCAGTCTCATTTATAGATTAAAATTATATCTGTTACAATATGATCTACATTAGACTATTCATTCTAGCATGCTTTTCACCAGGCCGCAGTATATTGAATATGATAGAGCAGGAATGAGATCCATGCAGCAACCAGCAACCATGTATCCGGCGCAACGTTTCCTAACGTCGGGCAAATGATCACCCCCGCTCGGGCACAAACGCCCATATTCGGGCAGTTATATATAATATTCTGTATACTTCACTACTCAATGGAAAAATGATTGAAGACATGTAGCCCATTGTATAATTCGAATATTAGCAAATTCACCAGTTTTCATATAGATTGTCGGTCTCAATCTAATATTCACATTCATTGTTAATCTACCTTTATCACAGCATTATATGTTGCAGAGGGAATACATCGTGAATGATTTATTTTTCCATACAAGGGAACTCATTCTACAAGTCAGTATTCAGGTGTTCTGAACCTTCTAGGCAAAAGTCAGTAGATGGATTGAAATTTCATTAAAGCCAGTAGACACACATATAGGTGTGCCTGGTGCCACATATGAAGTGCATGTGTATAGGTTATACTTCGTTTACAGATTGGCATGTTAAAGCTTCTCTCCACCACCAGGAATAGCATTGGGGTAACAGGTTACATGATCAATCACTGTAAGTATGTAATGTACCCATAGGTAGTGATCGGTTTGATTTGCTCCACCAAGTCCATGGCAACTCGTTTGAATGGAATATCAATCACTGAGGGGAACCTTGCCAACTCAACTTTTGGATGCAGCCCACTAGCAGTCCCCACGTGACTGTCAATTTTGTGTAATGGCATTGTGCATTGCTGGCGAGTAGAATTGGGAAAATATTTTCTCAAGGGTTTTTGGTATCCCTAAATGGTTTTCCGAGTTTGAGTCAAGGCCGAACTTCATAAGATCAGACCAAAATGCAGAAGTAACTACCACCTAACAAAACGGCCTAAATCGGTGTTAGGAGATCGAAATCTTCAGTATAGTAGACCCTTTTTAATGCGAACACTAGTTATACTCGACTTACCAGTCGCCACCTGTTTTATCGGTGTCATACCTAAATAACCGTTTCAAGCATGAGACTGAGTTCTCGTCTCAGCATTATATACAATTTCCAGCCCACTAGGCTGATCATTGACACCATCTTGCATGGTAGGTAGGTCACCTGTTAGGATACCACGGCCACCAGTGTCCAACATGCCGACTGCATGGCTAGGACTTGCACCTACGGAGGTTAGGGAATCTCCTCTGTTCTACAGGGAAACTACTCATGTTCATTGTACATTGAGAATGCGCTCAGAAAAACCGTCCTAGAGTTGGATACTATTTGGGCCGCTTGACCGGCCCCCTCAGGGAATTTGTATTTGGACACTTGCACTCATCTAAAAGTCTCAAAGTACATCAAAATTAAATTTTTAGCCCAGCTTCAGGAACTCATTTCCATTCAACAACAGCTAGTACAATTATGATGTCTACCATTCGAGGGAAGTACAAAGGACGTACGAAATCGTTTTGAAGAACAACTTTAGAACACTCTGTGTTCCTTAGCACAAAAACCGTCTGTGCACTAGAACTGCCCTCAGCAGTGGGTATTTCTAGTTTTCCACTTGTTAATGGAGGTCAAGTTCCATCGCCTCTGAACATATGAAAAACGTGTACAAGCTCCAATCATGTTGAGATTATGCTAGTTGTGTGTGTAGTAGTGATGCACATTACAGCTATTGGGGTTGGCTGTAGATTTACCACGACTTTTGATATAGTAGTGTACCTCATCCCGGAGGTCTGCAAATTTTGCAATTTTGCTCAAGTCTTGACACTGATGTTCTCTCAAAAACATTTCAGGGCTACATGCTCTTTGTTACTGTTCGTACAAGAACAAATTAACTCTACAGTATGCACAACACATGACAAGTTAATTTACTGTCAAGTAATGCTCGAGTTGAACTAAAAATTCGCTTGTAGTCTCAAATTTTGTAGGACGCGCCTGATGAAATTTAATGTGATATCCCTACCTAATCTCCCTGTATTCTTTTAGCATTCCGAGCATCTACAACTAGCTTGTCATGAACTGCCAATGACTTCCCCTTTATTTGACCACTAAAGATAACACCCCAGTTATCTCGCTTCCGTTCACAATTCTGAGCAAGATATTCAACCCCATTTATATAGATGTCCATGGAGCTGGCGAGAGGTGTTTAATAATGACGTGTAGTGTGGTTTAAAAATTGATGGAAACGTTAATCTGACTCGACTCAGTCTGAACTAAATCAGTGGATATCGCGATAAAATGCGCAGTGTTGACAGTCAATCTGCGCCCAAATTGATCGATTCAGTTTCTTTAGACCTTATTAGTTCGCAATTGGGTGCCTATACATTGAGTTATACCCAAGATAATTCAAATAATGAACAATTGACTATAGATTGTAAAATAGTAAACGAGAATTGTTCTTACTACAAAATTGCATTTCATGTCTGGTCCTAAACATATTCTTGTTTTATTGAACTGTGGAAATAGCTAGATGCATGATACTCTAACTGACTCTAACAGATCGCAAATAAAGTATAATAGCATTCTTTAAAAAACGTGTACTGTACTTATCAGTTATGAGGTGATGTCGTTAACGAGTGTTGTCAGTCATTTGTTTTACGTCGTTTAAATTATTAATTTACCATTGTGACCTTCGTGCATTTATCTTTTGTTAAGTATGTTATTTACATTTTACATAATCATGAATAACTACAAATCAGATATCGATAGAAACATTATTGTTACCTCCACCAATGAAGTTTTGTTTTTGCTGGAGTTTGATTGTTTGTCTGTTTTAGTTTTAAGTTTAAAGGTAAAACTTATGGTCAATTTATGAGATTCTCACAATAAAGAGATCGGGTAGATGTTGGAGAGATCAAGATTACATTTGGGAATGACTCTTCATTACTAACTCAATAACCATGGTGATTTTTTAATGAAATCTTCAAATAGGGTTACTTTGATAATAGGATCAGTATATACTGTTGTTTATCTACTTTTCACCATTGGCATAATAAAACTCTTTGTTACTCAATTTGTGTTTTTGATAAAAAAAAATATGAAAAATTATATTTAAAATTTTGTTTTGGTCAAGAAATATTTTAATGCAATAAGGTGGAAGTATTATTAGTATCTAATTTGTTTTTTTTCGATTTCCACGTACAGATATGGCGACACGTATTCGTTATGCTGCATTGCGGGACGTGACAATGACGAGTTGACTGAGTGCTTACCAAGAAAAACACAATTGTCATCATGCGACTCTTTACTAAGAAATTACTTTTTAAGAATATGTGCATGGTTGTTTGGATTGGCAGCCGTATTTATGAACTCATCTATAATTAAATGGAGATATGATAACTTGTCTCGTAGTAAAGTGAATTCGGTTGAGTCTCGTCTCCTCATTATACTGACTATATTCGACTTCATAAATGGAGTTTACATATTAATTATTGCTGGAGCTGATGCTCATTTTGGCAATGAATTTGTGCTGCATGGTGATAACTGGCGTCAAAGTATCGTATGTACATTGATTGGCATCATAGAAACTGTTGCAAGTCAGTCATCGTTGTACATTGTTACATTAATGACTATCGATCGCTGCCTTGTGATTGCACTACCGTTCAGAGATATACGATTGCATAAAACATCTGCCAGATATTTGGTGATATTTGGTGTCTCTTTGATTATAATCTTAGCCACTATACCAGCGTTCCCCATTACTTATTTCGGAACTAACTATTACGGTGAAACAGATGTATGTTTGCCATCTTATTTCCACGAGGAACGCCCGTCTGGATGGGAATACACTACAGCATTTTTCATTCTGCCCAACTGCGTCTTTGTCATCGTTATTATGATATGCTACATTGTTGTGTTCAAAACGAAACATACCTCTGACCAATCATTAAATGCTAAAGACAAGACTGCTTTTACAATGTCAGTGCGAATTCTGGTGATTGTGTTCTTCGTCATGGGACGATGGATTCCATTTATCTGCACCAATCTTGTTGGCATTACCGAGATTACAATACCTGGAAATATATATCCTTACGTGATTGTGCTCGTTTTGCCAATCACCGCTGTAACCAATCCAATGATGTATACATATATATCCGGAACATACACGCTCATTAATATCAGTGCAATTAAATCCAAGATTGACGAAAAACAAAGAATTACGAGAATAGGTAGGAGCGTAAATATGTAGATAAAGTTAGTTACGTTTAATTGTGGTATGCAAAATTGCGGAAGTCAGCGTTGTTCTCATTCGTTATTACAGGTAAAAACATAAAAGATGATTTTAAACGCATCATAAATACCAGCCGTATATGTTGGTCAGCGGTGTTTGTAAATAATAAAGCTATAGCAAAAGATATGATGGTCAGATATAAGCACTGGAATGTAGTAACCACTGCGGACAAGAACAATATAACAAATGATGTTGAGACTGCTCTGATCTCTCTTTGTGAAGCTAAGCTGTGTGTTTCTGATTTGGTTAATGAAAACAACATTTATATTGAAGAGAAATACGGAGTAAGTAATTTTTTTTTATCAAATTGCCATTTTGCGCATTATTTTCATTATTATGTTTCTGAGAAAATACCATACGATGATGGCGTTTTCTATCCCAATATATTTGTAGAATGGGCAATACGAACTATTTAAATGATTTACTAGTATCGCTAACTTAACGTCTATTTTCGAAACAAAGTCACAAGTCTGAATAGCATAATCCCCGAAATTGCACATTTAATTCCTGAAATAACCATAATTTTGTAGACAGATTGTTTTTCACTAGTGTATTCTAAATGTACAATAATATTTCCAAAAAGAGCGACTTCTGAATATTTCTCCAGTGAATATGCTTTTCGATACATAATAAGAATGCAATCTAGTGATACAATTAGTGGAGTCAATGCGGGCGCAGTTATTTCATTCCGTACATTTGAAATATTGGCATGTATACTTCAGTATAATTATCCAATGATTTATTACTCAATATTCAGTCAAGAAATCGATTTATGCTATCAATCAAATGTTAAGCCGACGTTTTTATTGTACGGGTTATAAATCTTAGTCGATTCACACTCAAATTATATATTTGAATGAACACTAGTGAGCGGAATTTCATTTCGATGGCTAGATCAATTAAAGTAAATAAAATCTTTACTTACCAAAAATTTTGGTCATCCTGGTAGAATGGACAAGAATCTTATTTAACACTCCAATGTTTCTAGAGTATTGAGTACAACAATTTAGGATACAATATAATATACTCTTATCTATTTTTTTGTTTTGTATTCAGCATCTATTATTTAGAGCAACCATACTATTTGACGGCATAGCGAAACACAAAGCTATCAATTGCGAAGATGATAGGAACAAAATAATTCATCATGTTTCTGAATATGTAAAAATGAAGACTCGAGTTTACGTGGAATCAAAAACTGGTGATATTGATGATGATGTCATAAGCGACTAGAGCCAGTGCTTGTTTCACCAATGTATGCATGCTTTTCATGTATAAATATATACTACAGAAATTACAAATACAACACCACATTTATGTGTATTAGCTGAAATGTTAACACTGCTTAAATCGATAATATTAAGTTCAACAACTTTCAATTTATTCATTTGAATTTACTTAAATTATTTATTTCAAAGTATTTCTTTCTTTTTATTTATTTATTTATTTATTTATTTATTTATTTATTTATTTATTTATTTATTTATTTATTTATTTATTTATTTATTTATTTATTTATTTATTTATTTATTTATTTATTTATTTATTTATAGACCTTGTTCAACAGGACAGATAGATGATAATAACATTATTTTATATAACTAATAAAACGAAACAATAGTAACACTGTAAAAATTAATAGGACAGTAAAATAGTAATGTTACTGATATATGCACAGATAATATATATATATATATATGCACAATGTAAGATTTTTTTGTGTTTCGAATATCACGGGAAAGGTCCACCTTCATCGTTTAATATGGCGATTGTATGCAATAGTTCCCGACACAAAAACAACGAATGCGGAAGGATTTTCTCATTGGTTGGCTTAATGTTACCACAATAAATCGTTTTCCTCGGAATGTTTGATATTTTCCCCATTTCTCAACCCGTTTCTCAACTTTATTTAGTAACACGTCATATTCAAGATATTCCATCAGAAAATATCAGTAAATTGTTTTTATTTTATTGTCACATGTACGCCCGTTGACTGTGCTGCTATTTATTTAAGTGCCAACATCAAGTTAGTAGTAAATTTGTGTCTGCAATAGTTCGTTTGGAATTAGGCATGTGCTTCAATCACGACGTTACATGATCATATAATACTTTATTTAAATTTCTTCATTCATGTGGACAATACCCAGTAAGAATTAAATAAATAAGTATTAAACCTGAGGTATGCACCAGAAAAGTGAACATCTGTACCATCTGTGCAATGCTGATATCATATTGAACCACAAGCTCATTATATAATACTTATTTTGTGTGAATCCATTTTAACATCTGATAAATAATCAGTATTGTTATAAGTCTGCCAGTCTGTCGACTGTGTGTTGGATTAATGGGTTGTGATTCATGTTATGTAATTCGGGTATGTTGTTATTATATCCAAATAGGGTAAGTTGTAGTTTTCATATCAATTTGATATGATATTTCTACTTTCATGATGTAGACAAGCTTGATTATAAAACATTCATACAATGACAGTGTATGTCAGCAATTCTGTTTTGCTCAATACATGACAGGCTTTAAATTAACGTATTGTCTGCACAATTCCCATGAAGGGAAAGAAATAGGGCTCATCTATGCCAAATCCGGGTACCACCTCAAGATCAATCAATATTGGTCATATTGTTTATTTTCGCTATTTTATTCGTACATATTCCATCATATAGCATTTCAAATGTGTTCAATATTTCTAGTATGATGATGATGTACAATTTGACTCCAAAATTATGAATATATTATTTTATAAAGTTTGGAAAATTTGATGTGTTTGACTCATTTTGTTTATGGTACCCATTTAGATCAAATTTGGAATCAAGCATGGTAAATGTTTTTTCCATGTAAGGTAATGTGAATCAGCTAAGCAACACAATTATAACAGATGTGTGTGTCTTATGATTTCAGTAAAATTCCCAGTTAAGCTATTTTCAGAGGTTGTATTGTCTCTGATTCTTAATCAGTTTTGTGTTGGTCAGTGTTTAGATACAGTACACAAGCCTTTGTACCACAAATTTACACTTGTTTTTATAGGCAGAAAATGTAGAATTATATGAGTAATGTTACAGCATAACAGCAAAATCAGTTTAAATTAATAAATAATTGAAAATGTATTTTGTACAAAATATTCAGAGATGAAGAGAAAATCCTTGTATTTGTTCATGTGTGTGACCAGTAATGTAGTCGTAGATTACGAATATCAAGATATTCATATCTCCGTAATAAATACGTAAAGGGAAATTCTCTAGACTCTAATTTACAACTCAGTTATCAGCTAGATGGTTTGTGCTACAATGATATTTGTGCTTGGATGTAGATTCCTACTTTGCAGTTGAGTTCAATATCGATAACCGTTTATTTTTGGTAAAATGTTTATAAGTCATCATTCCAGTATAAAACATGGATTGACATCCATGGAGATTTTTGGCACCATAATACATAGATATGAACATGTTGGCCTATCAATAAAGATGATATATGGTTATGAGACTGAATGATGTATTATTTTGATTACTAATTAAGTTTAATACAGTGAGACTTTATAGTATAATGGGTTTTTTTTCGATTAAAATCAAATACGAATATGTCACTTTGTGTAAACAATTGTATTACTACGATGTGCTGCATATTACGGCATGTTTCTTTTCGTACGACAAGAATATATTAGTACAGATAATAGTAAAAACAATAGTTTGCTTTAGCAACGATTGGTTGGAACGTCACGAACTAGGTGCTTTTAAAAATTGCTGTCAAAGTACTTGAATTGTCACTTATTTGGTTGTCTGATCTGATATTGAAAGTTGTAACTTCAATTAACCTATACAAATTGGAACGTCGAAAATGTTCATTTAAATTTGTCAAGAGTACAAAGAAATACAGCATATTTGATTACAATGTTACAATATTGTAATTGATTCATTCATGTTACTAACTTGATATGACTTTCAAAGAACTTACAGTTGCAACTACATTGCAAGCATTGATCCATCCAGGCATATTGGGTGTATGGTACGTCCGTAAGGTAGTCAGGGTATCATTTTCATTTCGCGGCATTCGAATTGCAGGACAATTCTAACCGGCGTCAAACCCTTTGACGTGCATAAAGATCTAAATCATGTACCAAGTTTTGAAAGACAGTTATCTATGTACAACCACACTCTAACTCCAGAATAGCAGTTATTCTTAATTTTGATGAATGTTTCCCACTGAAATATCAATCTTGACCATCTTGAATATTGATACACATGCACGTGTATCCAAAGATGTATGTATATCCAAAGTTTGTACGTAATTTGTTCGGGCTTGTATGTGTTGTAACATAAGTGAAATTATAATAGCAGTTATCATTTATTCAATAAAATATTAAACTACATATATTTATAACTTTTATATGTATAATGGGACCTTAACGCGGTAAGTTGGTAATACGTAATTTGATTAAGACGTTGGAAGTATTTGCCCTATTTGAAGCACACATGAACTGAATTTTGTGTGCTTAATCATTAGAATATGATTATAAAATAAATAAAATATGGTATGTATTTATAATTAGAGCTGTAAAGCACTATAGCAATGCAAAAACATGTTTTGAATATCAACTGTAAGATGTATTTGTATTGGGGCGATCCATATCGTAATTTGCAGTGTAGGTATACTTTTGGTGATAAAATCAATAAGCGTATCTGATGAAGGTTTGTTTAAGGCAATACTGAAGTACTTTTGCATGTCTTTGCTGAAATGAATGAAAAGACAAATAGAGGGATCCTTGATGTTGGGTATTACGAAACGCAGTCGAATGACCTCATTCAAGGTTCAGAGTGCCGAATTTCATATTTTCAAAAGGTACATCATAGGATCTTATTTCTTCTCCACCATATATAATATACCACCATATTTATTAAATGAGTCTTGTAATTGCTATTTGGGAATTGAATTCAATGAAAGTTACACAGGAACTGTTATTTGTTAATGCGTATTCAATACGTTTCAAAAGTTCAGACTTATTTGCATAAATGATAGCCGTTCATCAAACACCTATGAACGTAGTTTGTTATAAACGAAGCCATCATCGTATTCACGGTGTTTTAGATTTATTGGTTATACATGATATAATCTGTGAGATTTGGACCTTGCGGAAAATATTTAAGTTCAATATTCGAATTTTTACAGCTTCTAACAATTCGAGAACAATGGTGTATATCCACTAATCACAATTGCAAATGCCAAGATGTTTGAGTGAATCAATCATATTACTGTGATTTGTATCACGAGATATTATTATATCGTACTAAATAGTCGATATTACATAATGAATATAAATAATTATTTTAACATTACCCTTTGTACTTCCTCGTTTTACATAACAAAAATTCTACCACAAATTACAAAAAGTGAGGTAATACATAATACAATAATGACGAGCTACATGATAACATAACATTCAAAAATACTATTGACAAATACTATTTTGACAATACTGTCCACGAATATGAGGTATATAGATGACAATTTATTTAGTCCTTAACAACCATCAAATATGCGTAATTTATTAATTGCGATTGCCAATAGGTGGGTATCAAAACATCTATCTTTAACATTAGCATGTTCTAATCGTTCTATTTGTTTGCTCTTCAAGCTATCAAAACCAGGTTTTATTTTCATGATGCACATTATCATGGTATGTGTAAATTTGGGACTCGGCAGTCCTTGACGCTGTACCACTATCTAACCAGTAACTATTTAGCAATTTACCCACTAACTATTGTATTAAGCCATTCTTGGTAAATACACAGATCTACAAAGTTGTCTCCAGCATGATCTCTTTATTATTAATAATATAAATAATAGTAATAAATATCCACTTTCCAAATATTTCTTCTAGCGTTTCAATTAGTTTCAGACGACTCGTTTCCGGTACCAAGGTCACCAATCTATCTAAAATTCATGTGGCACCGAATATAATAATTGGTAATGGTTCGCACAGTGTTTTGATTAATATAGGTAAGCCTTACACAGCTGTTAATTTATGAAAGCCGTTCGTTAATCGTGAAAACATGTGAATTGGTGTTCGTAGTTTACAAAACACAACTAAGCATAAGCGAAATAATTCTTTTTAATTGATTCACGAATTGATGTTTCAGTAGGTAATGAATGTGCTTATCTAATAAAGTTATGTATATTGCAAAACCAATTGCCCAATCATTGAGGGATTTGACTCAAAACAATCA